ATTCCAATGGGCATAAGTGTCTATGGGCAAGGACAACTCTCTCTGAATGTCAAAGGCCAAAAGCAACAGTACTGGGAATCCCGCTCTGCTGGAAAAGGAAACTTGATGTTTCAGTTGGCACTGCTGTATTCTGGCCTGAAACTGTATGTCCTGCAGTCAGCTTGGATGATGAGACTGTAGTGCAGATGTATCCCAACAGTGGTGGCTGGAAGAAATAGGCCGCAGCCTGAGGCAAATATATGTTCACAACTATGTGCAAGTAGGTAGCTGAGATGATGAAACTGTCAGTGTTCTCTTAGTGGATACATGGGACTTTCTCACCCAATCACTGTGATCTGGCAGATCATAGCAGTTTGTCTTTTCCAGCAAATGGGGCCCGTCAAAGACTCTCAGGTTTTGATTCAGCATCCCGTCTGGTCTCCTGCTAACAAATTGACTCGCTGAGCAGCGTGGCAGGACGGGCGATCAGTAGGCTCTTTTTAGACCTTCTCCCATTCCAACTCTTTCTACGTGGCCTAGTTCAGCACTCCAGCCATCAGCACACTTCCTCTTCTCTCAGCCTCTCCCCTCACTCTCCTGGCCAGTTTCCCGGGCTTTGATATTTATATGTCTCTGCCCACATGCTACCTCCTTTGAGAAATGCAGTCCCTGAGCATCCTGCTCACCATTCAAGTCCTGCTGTTCAGCATACAAGTTCCAGTGGGCCGTTCTGCCAAATGTGAATGACTTTGAATGGCAGGCCGCCATTATCTAATGTCCATTTTAAAGCACTGCATCTAACACTATTTCACAAATCCTTTATAAAATGTGATTGGGGGAAGCCTCAGCGACAGCATACACTGGCCAGTGCATATTTGGCAGAATTTTATTTTTATTTTTTTACAATTAGCTTGGCTTACATACAGCAGCAACATCCCAAACTGTTTAATTTCAGTTAAATGGATGGGCTTTTTTTTTCAAGTATCTTTAGCACTGACATGCTTTTTCATTAAATGGTAATAGACCACATTGGCCAGTGAATTTGGCCAATAGTTTACTGTGACTGTCCCTTTTCTCACCGATCAAGCTTTCATTAAGAATTAACAGACCACAGATGATGCAGCACTGTGAAATTGACCAGCAGCAGGACATTTTTATTGGCTGAAATTAACTAGAGAGAAAAAGTACAAGAGTACAGGCAGGTGTTTACCTATAAATATTAAGACGCCACCAATAATACATCAGTGTAAAGCTGGCCAGCAGCAGAAAAGGTTTAATTAGGGTAGTGGGCCTAACTGGTGTATACCTAACTGTTCTTGCACTTTGCATTGTACTTTGCATTGTACTTTGTTTTTCTTTCTAATGATGCAACATAATGCTGTGAAAAAAGGTAGCTCTAAGAACAGATGGTCAGTAACAAGCGAAGCTCAACTTTAAAAAGGCCCTATCTCCATAAAATAAAATTAAATATTAAAAAAATCTTCTCAAAATGAAATCCCCAAAATAACACCCCTGAATCAAACCCCAAAATACAACCCTTGAAATTTTGTTTATGAGACACCTTGCAGCAAAAATAAGTTTACCTAAAATAAAGGCACTATCAACAAAAGCCTCAATATACCAACCTCTGAAGTAAAAGCCCATTTTTAATGGGAAGCCTTGCAGAAAAAAAAAAAATACTAAGCACTAAGGACAGGAGCTAAAAGTGACAGCTGACCTCAAACCCAAAACAAAATATTATAAAGGACAAAAAAATAATATGGATAGCAAAGATGGCAGCAAATGATTTAATTGCACAAAGAGCTGGCAATCAAAATAAAGTATAGTTTACTAACTGACCCTTATCTCCCCCTAGGCATTTTGTCTGCTTTTCTTGCAACAACTTTCAGTTCACTGACACTATGGTTGCTCTGTGCCCTTCCTCTTATAGTGAGGGGGCTTGCTTAAAAAAGTTCCCTTTTTGGCCCTTCTATGTCTGCCTACCATAGTTCAAAGGCCATACAATGCATTATGCTATTATGAATTTTATCATAAATTCACACGGACATCAAATCAATCAGGATTCACCTCTAACTCATGGTAATGGTGAATCTGAACCTCATTCCTAGTTTGTTCCAGGCAATTATTGTTAAGGGTAACGAAACCCATACTATGTACTATCTTACCCACACATGGAAAACAATTGGATGACTTCCAATAATATAAGATTTTTGTACGTGACTAGTCTAGCTAGCAATGCTATATAAGGCTATGTCAAGACTAAGTGCTCATGTTGGTAATTCTCTATGGGTTGAATTGTTGTGAACTGGGACTTGAGTATCTTAATAAATTGTCATCATATCAAATACATTTTCATCCAAAAATGTTTCTGTCTGTATTTTAGTAATGCCCAATTCTAATGTGGTCTGACAAAGGGAATAATTATTCTGCAAGTATTGTGTGATTGTGTGATGAAAATGAAATACTTAAAGAGAAATTAATACTAAAGTTTTTGTAAACCCAGATATATTCTCACTTTATTAGAATAGGATACATCACAAAGAACTAACGGACATAGAAAACACTTAAAAATATCAGAGCTACCTTTTTGTCCCCCAGGTCATGTGGCCACTTTTTTTTCTCACTCTACAGCCCACAATGGTGGGCGGGGACTAAGCTGCAGTGGCATTAGCAGGACGCATCCTCCTCCCTGGGCAAAGCAGAGTGTGGGGGGAGTTGTCAATCAAGGCATGTGATCAGCCCCATAGATACTGCTGCATGTGTCTATCGCAGCTTGGAAGATCAAGCTCCATGGCAAGCCAGGAGTAGTTGAAGTGTTGGAAGACGGGAGCATATACTCTGCAAAGGGAATAGACTGAATAAACTGCAGATTATTGCCTCATAGATCAAGGAAGTCAAATTGACTGACAGGATCAATAGGACATGTCACAGAAAGCAAAGTTTAGTTTAAAAATATACAGTATATATGGTAGGCTTTCTTTCTTCTTCAATAAAATATAATAAATGCCCATTTTTGTGCAGGTGAAAAATGTTCATTTATTATTTTTTTTTTTTTTTTGGGAGCCAGTAAAGCATTGCACCAGCGATCAGCAAATTGCTGATACCATGCAGGTCTCCTGCAGACCTGTCAGTGTATCTGCTTCCTTGCACCTCGTACGGGGATGCCGATATTTACTGACAGGAAGACCCCATGAACTACCACAGTGCTCACAGCGCTATGATAGTTCACTGAGAACTACAAGCTGACAGCCGCTAAAGGCCGCTGGGACTTGTAGTTTTCTCATTCACAGAACACTGTGAATAAGTGACAAGGCCAGGAGGGTGGAGCCCCGCACAGCCATGTTTTTTTAAAATTGTGACAACTAGCAGGAGAAGATCCCCCGTTATCTGTCACAACGGGAGATCAGGGGGGAGGGGACTGGTCCGTTTGTAACATGTTACATGTTGCACCCTGAATATTTACAAAAAGTGAACTTATCCTTCAATGCATGTCACTGAGAATTTGATGCCAAAATAGAAAAAAAATCAGTCCTATGCTAATTTGTGTCAGACTTAGCAAACAGAGCACCTATAGTATAGTATAATATATACGGAATCTCTGTACATATTACTAACCAACCAAAAAAATAATCAAGGGGGTTAAAATAAGATTTACAGTGAGAAAAAGTATATTTTTCTTTATTATGTTCAATAACAGGACCAATAGATATGGTAAGCTTGGTGTAACAAAGCGTGTTGTTCATCGTAATTTCACTAGTGCCTTTCAGGTATAGTTTAGTTTAGTTCAGTATAGGGCAGAATATATTGATGTGCCCAGCACTACTTACAGGAGTGAGGCAACACAATCTCTAGCATTGGAGCAGAGTGCTGCCTATGACAGGTAACAGTTGTCAAGTCACATTCCCTGTAAATGTTGTCTGTTAATATCATATGCTGTCGCTGTATTGGTACATAGGGAGAGTCTTGGCACTGTATTTCGGAAGCCAGTCTTGGCACTGTTTCCAGGGTTACCAGAAAATTGTAAGTTAATAAAGTTCCTTTCAGCACATCCAGCCCTGGAACTCGAGTTGCTTAAAGGGTAACTCCACTATTGTGGAGGGAAAAAAATCAACAAATAAAAAAAAATTTATTTATTTATGATTATATTCTTTTGTCAATTACTTTTGGTCCCTTGAAAAAGGGGGGATGGCTACTTCTAAAAGCTTCCTCCAATGTGGATGTACATACCCTCAAATTAAACCTGAGAGCGTGCACTATCAGCCCAAATCCATTACATAACTATAGCTTGAATATGTTTTGGTAAATACCTGAAAAAACTAAACTTGTGCCTGTGTCCAAATATATATGGACCTAACTGTAATTTCCTGCTTGTGTGATTGGCTTACTGATCTTCCCAGAAGTCTGCACTGAGATACAAGTCAGATTTTTGGCATCTCCTGCATCAAAAATGTCATTTTTGGTGAGATACTCCCACAGGGAAATCATGTCTAAAGGGATGCAGACTCTGCACGTTTCCTCATTAGAGTCCTGCAGATGCAGCAGCTGACTAATAATTATAAAATCACTTCCATACATATTCACTTTGCACATGGACACAGAGAAATAAACAGCTATTTCTTCAGAATAACAAACGGTAGGACTCTGCACAAAGTCTTAGATTGTAAGCTCCAAGGAGCAGGGCCCTCCTATCCCTCTTGTATTGAACTGTATTGTTGCTGTATTGTCTCCCGTTATATTGTAAAGCACTGAGCAAACTGTTGGCGCAATATGAATCCTGTATAATAATAATAAGTTTGTTAAAATCCCTGCAATGTACATAGATCACCCAGAGGGGAATGTTTTTTTTCCCAACAAAAGTGGAGTGACTCTTTCAGGAGAGGCAAGTTCACTTTGTCCACCCTTAGCCCTGCCAGTGTTTGTGTTGGCAAATCTTTATATACTCTGTTGTTTATATTTTTTACATTAAAATAACAATTTATATCAAGATTAGATATTAATACTATTCCTACTCTTCATTCCAGTCACTGAAATATGACATGCAAGGAGAAATGAATGCCACTCATAAAGCTAATTATTCTGTGATAGACCTAATAAGGACTCCTGTGGTTCGTCGCATATCTATTTGTTTATCTTGCACTTGGTAGGTACTAACCTTCTCATTGTCATATCTATATGAAGATAAAGGTGTTTCTTTCACCATTCTTTTTTTTGCCAATCACAGTTTTGTAAATATTATGATTGTGCTTCATCACAAGGATTGCAATTAAGTGCTGACTATAAGTATTAGAAATGTGCTCCACTTACCCTAGACTTGCTGGTGGCTTCCACCAAAACTAGAATAGAGATGTAGGTTAAGCTCCTCCATTCACACCCCTTTCTTTGAATGCACTATAATCTAAACATGAGTGCATACCAGCCATTGGATGACAGAATAGTTCTATTTTTTGAATAGGAAGGGTAATGTGTTAAAGTGACATTTCAATTTAAACAGTTAACATGTTTACCTGATTTCCTCACCATTGGCATGTAGGGACACATGTTCCTTGTTACATAGTCTGGCTGACAAATCTCTGTGCTATTGAAAGTTTGTAATGGAGCACAAAATTAAAATTACATTTCATCTGGTAGATCGTTATATGTGGTCACTTTGTAGATCAATATCAGATTGCATTAGGTGAGCCAGATGCAGTTACTATTTTACACTATTATTTATTACAGTATCTGGTTATTATTACAGTTACTTATATAGTGCTGTAAATTTTACGCAACACTTTACATATATATCGTACATTCACACCAGTTCAAGCCCTCATGGAACATACAATCTAAGGTCCACATTATTATTATATTATTATACAGGATTTATATAGCACCAACAGTTTGTGCAGTGCTTTACAAAATTAAGGTAGACATTACAGTTACAATACAATTTGGTACAAGAGGAAACAGAGGGTCCTGCTTGTTAGAGCCTACATTCATACATATGGATGCTAGGGCCAATTTAGACAGGAGCCAATGTCTCTGGAGTGTGGGAGGAAACCAGAGTACTTGGAGGAAACTCACACAAGCACAGGGAGAACATGCAAACTCCAAGCAGGTAGTGCCGTGGTTGGGATTTAAACCAATGACCCTAGTGCTGCCAGGTGAAAGTGCTAACTACTTAGCCACTGTGCTCCCCCACAGACTGAATAATTATATGACGATGCCTAAGTGTTGTATGACATTTGACTGTTTTAAGGGTTCAGCCTCAAAAGTGATTTAAAATACTTATGAACTACAACTTGAAAAGTAATAAACACCCATCTTAGTGTTAGTAAAACACAGATGGTCTTGCTGATTATTTTTAAACATATTCCATGGGTCATTCCAGTAAAACATTTTGTTAATTATGAAAACCTCCATATCCAATAGAACACAAGTAGTCATTACCAAACTGTGTATAATCAGATAGTACATTACACATTATTACACAATACAATAAGGAATGCAGCAAGTCTGTTCTGCTCCCTGAGAAATTACAATGCATTTACATGAGAGAGAGGAACTCAACAACCTAGTACTGTTGGCTGCAGTTACTGAGTCCTAGATTGGAACCAGTGTGAATATCCTATTATTCTATTATTAGATTTTTCCTACATCACAGATCTGCTCGGCTATGACTTTCTATGCAAACCACATGAGTCATCCCAATTTATTTTACATTGTCATTAGTAACATCACTAGCACCTGATAGAAACTTCAGATTTCTAATGTCTGCTTCTTTCCTTAACTAGGTTCTCTACCAGTTTTGCCTATTACGGTCTTGCCATGGACCTTCAGAAATTTGGGCTCAGCATTTATATCATTCAAGTCATTTTTGGCACTGTTGACATCCCAGCCAAGTTTTTCTCTTATTTTGTGCTTAATTACATCGGGCGCCGTGTTCTGCAGGCCTCTGCTTTAATTTTGGCTAGTGCTGCAATTTTAGTGAATATTTTTCTTTCTGAAGGTAAACTGTCTGATGCAAATTTATTTGCAATTAATTTTGTTGATGTTTTGCTGTTAATTCTTGTTCAGTCTATGTGCCTACTTATCGCAAGAGAACCAGAGATACTATTTTTTAATTTGAGAGTCTAACCCATATTACCTATATCCTGCTCAGTTTTCATAGGAAGTGTCTCTTTTTCAAGAATCTCTGACAATCATAAAATAGGAAATAGTCACTAGCACACCAGGATTATGCAAAAGAAAAGGACATTTATTGCCACAGACTCAAAGTGTGACATAATGGGATGCAAAGGACCCATTCATCAAGGCAGAACATGACTACTGTCTTGATGAAGGGGTCCCTTGTGGGGTGATTCCTGCATTAATGAAGGGGTACTTTGCAGTCATCAAACACTGAACTATAAATGTAATGTAAAATAAATGTTCTAAACCTTTGCACAACCCCACTGTGCTGGTTACACTTTGCCATTTTAGCCTGCATTATATGATGGTACCATCTCACATTTGATCACTATACCACTCACAACCTGAAATTTTTAACTATAATTTTTAGCTATAAGTAGTTTACTGGATTACATAGACTCTCTAGCAACCATGGAGCAGCAGAGAGGTTTAAAAAAATTAGCAACTATAATGCTTATTTGTGTAAATTCTTATAAAGAATTAAGGCAGTGATAAATTGTTTGTTCTTTGCATGCAAAGCTCCGGATGCAGACATCTCTTGGGGCAATCAAGCCATTGATTACCTCCTAAAAAGAAATTACATGGGGATTTTATAGTCATATGAAAATCTCTACACACGTAGACCTTATTCCTTCCTCTTTCAAAGGTGAAGAGGAAAAGACAGTATTACTTTGTCCACACCTGCCAGTAATCCAGTGTAGTTTTTCATTTGCAACTAAAGGGTCCTATTTTTAAGTTCTTCTGTGCACAACTAACTTTACCAGCGTCTAGAGAAGTGATGGCCAACTTTCTTGATATGGGGGCCTCAAGTGTGGCCACTGACATGACTAAAGAGCTAAACAGTGACTGGACAGCCCTTTCATTAATTAATGCTTTCATATTTGTGATTCCTTTCACCCTTTTTGAAAATTACTTGTGCAACATTTCTCTCAAAAAGGTCCATTATAAAAAAAACATATAAAGAATAAAGGGGTGGACAGCACAAAAAAGTAAGATAATATTAAAGAAATAAAACAAACCTTTTAACTAATACAAGCCAGTCTAAGAAATATGTTTTCTTCACTCCCTTTAAGTACCAAAACTTTCCAAGTGCTGCACAGAGGGGCAGTGTTGGGGGCATATGTGTGCTGAAGCACTTCCAAAAATGTTTAAAGCACCCCATAGCATGCCCATCAACAGTCATCACCCTCCTCCAAAGCATCTTGCATGGCACCTTTCCTCTAGGTCCCCCGCCTGTCATATTGTGTGTGTGCAGACCTGGCTTTCTGGTGCAGGCAGTGCTCTTGCCCCTAAGCCTACCACAATGTGTAATCACCAGTGAGCTGTACCCGAAAATATCTAAACTATCACCAGTTGCTGCCTGTGGGAAGGGGGTAACCAGGATAAAAGTTAGTGGTGGCAATCTGATCACCAATGTAGAATAAAAACATTAACCACCAATGTAAGGCGAATGCACTGGCCAACAATGTAATGTAAGGGAAGGACTCTGACCACCAATGTAGAAGGAAAACATTGACCACCAATGTAAGGTGAATGGACTGGCCAACAATGTAATGTAAGGGAAGCACACTGGCCACCAATATAATGGGGACCACACTGACCAACAATGTAAGCAGAATATACTGACCACCAATGTAAAGAAAGAACACACACAATTGCAACAAATGTTATAACTGAAGTGTATTTCACAGCAGTTATATGTTTAAATCCATACAATATGGTAACAAAAAGCAAAATACAGGGAATCTTTACAGAGTGGACCTTAACATAGTTATGTGATAAAATACTACCTAGTGTAGTTTTCAGACATAATTTCATTATTTACTGAAGACAGTAAAAGGAAGTCTACATTCCTGATACATTTCTCTTTTTAATATCCACAAGTGCACTAAATTCTCTACATAAAAGAAAACAGCTAAATACAAAGTTAAATACATACAACTGAGCTGTTTCACCTGCCAAAGGATTTTGTCCATTCCTTAATCAGATCAGCCACATTACACCGCCCTGTCTGGAAGGCCAGGATTTTCCTCTGCTGCAGCTCAGAAACACTTATATGCAGGGGCGGACTGACCATTTGGAAACTCGGGCACTGCCCGAGGGCCCAGGGTCAGTAGGGAGCCCCATGAGATGCCCCTGGTACCTTTTTCATAGGCTTTTTCGAGTTTGGGCAAGGACACAGGGGCCCCATGATCCCCTATTGCCTGGGGGCCCCATGAGTTGTCAGTCTGCCCATGACAGCAAACTCTGTAAGTTAAATGTATGAGCTATGGTATGAACAATTCTAAACAGAGTTCCCTTTAACATATGCACAGAAATAAATACCAAACCCTGGGCTTGAGAAGTATCAAAGAGAGTCTTCGTGTCCTGGGTCTTCAGCTAGCTCAGTAAGGGCCCAAAAAGATGGCTGTGCAATTGCGCCCAGCAATAGTAGATAATTTAGGTAGATAATTCCAGGTAAAGATCACAACTTGTAAGAAGGTGTGAGGTATAAAAGGTGTCTGCATGCAGTTCCCCTTATTGAAGAGTGTACACAGTCTGGGCTTCCGCCCACTCACCAATCCTGATGATACCATGGCTCAAGGGTTCCAGGATGTCCTGGAAAGCTCCTGCAACCAGCGTGGGACACTCGGCCTAACACCTGGTGACACTGGGGTTCTGCTGTAACTGAGACGGTGATGATGCTCTTGTCTCGGATCAGTTACTTCTGCCGACAGGAAGATGTGGATGGGTGATCTGTTGGCAGGTCTGTAGCTCACACGCCAAAGACTCTCCACACCATCCGGACTGCGTGGACTGCTTAACTCTCCACAGAAGCCAGGTCCCTCTTCTCATCTTCAGCCCGTAGTCCCAAGAGGAAGAGCATTCTTCAGAGTCTGACCTGTATATCCTCTCCCAGCATTCACTTCTCCTCTAGCCGGCTGGAGCCTGTAGTTCTCAAACGCATCAGCTTCTTGCCTTCTGAACTACATGTCCTACAATCCCCAGCTCTTTGTTGGATCCTCCTCTCTCTCTCGGTGCTACTGAACACAATGTCAATATTACAACTAAACACTAGAGGGGGCATTAGATCAACATATTCCTTATTAAGTGTTCTTGCGAAGAACACTTATTGTTATCTCACAAATATATTCTTATTCTTATTATAGCCAAATTTGCCACGCTAACTCCTCCCACAGTTTTTACACTACAAAGACAAGTAATATATCAAAACGTGCGGATTGTTCCAGATCGGATTGCTATTACTTTGTGGAATGTTTCGCCGAATCGTTCACGAAATATCGCGGTTTTTGTGGTGAAATTTTCCCATAGAAATGAATGGAGCAACTACAGTGAGAACTGACAAAGCTACATTGTGTGGAAGGAAAAATCAGAACATGATTTGTAAACTGCCATCACTCTGTCATTTTCAAGCCCACCTACACATATCTTATATCAAAACGTTCAGCTAACCCTGCTGTCACTAAAAATTCACGGCTAAGCCATACTCCTGATAGTTTTCACAATATGACCATTTGTTTGCAACTCACCCCTCCCATTGACTTTCATTGAAACTTCACTCACAGCCACCTGAAATTTTAAGGGACGTATTTAAACTGCGACTGTGCCTTCATTTTTAATATTGCAGAGACATACTATACATCAAAGTTTAGCTCCGCTTTTTGTGATTCTTACAATATCAAGCTCTTCGCTGTAGCATTTATACTTTTAAAACTACAAGTGTTTGAAGATGGCAATCGCCAGTGACGTTGGCAAGTTGGAGCAGTGTGTTTAGAACAGCACTTCTCACATTCCTGTGACTGAGTGAGTTGCTATAGCAACCAAAGGTGACTCACGATGCAGGTGAGTCACCAAGCTGGACTGTGAGCTGCAAAATACAAGCTGAAATGCATTTCTCACTATCAGGCTTGCCATGTGCACTGCTTACTTTTCATCAATCACTTGGTAAAGGTTGCCTGCAAGAACACTTTACACAATTTCCACAGAAATTGTAGATTTTCTAGTTATAAATGTCTTGCGATGGCACAGGTAGGTTAACCAGCACTGGGCTATATTACCTTTTGGATAGGATTAGGAAGTGTCATCATTTTATTGCTGTCTGTATCTTTGCTGGGGAGACTCATTCCCATTGTTCTGATAACTATTGTACAAGAAGTGATAAAAAATCTAAAATTTAGGAGTAGTTATAGATACAGGCTGTAAGGGGAAATCTTCCAATACAGACACTTTTTTTAGAAACAGTTGACTAGGATGGATTTTCTCTTCACATTAACGATTGTTCCTCTCCAGATGTGTATCTGGGACAAGAAGAGATATTAACTTTGAAGGAACAGTAAAAGAAAAATCTCACAATCTTTTTAACTGCTTTATCCAAACCTAGAAAAAGTTTTGAATTTACATACACTTTAAAGTGTGTAGAAAGGTGCAGTCTGTATTCCTCACTGTAAGAATGCAGAAGAGAAAGGAGGTTTTCAGGAACTTGGTTCCTCTATGGCAGGGGCGTCCCTAGGGTTGGTGTCACCCGGTGGGGTAACACTTGGTCACACCCCCTCCGACGATCCCCGGTGAATGGATCGGTTCTGCGGATTGAGCATAATGGATTGGACTCCGATTCATTATGCTCCCCAATCCGCAGATCCGATCCATCCTGCGGGGATCGTTAGCATGCAACCTATATGGGGTAACATCAGACCCACTCCACGAAGAGGTAAGTTGTAAAGCAAGATGACGATCCCCACAGGATGGATCTGATCTGCGGATTGGGGAGCATATGGATCGGACTCTGATCCATTATGCTCAATCCGCAGATCCGATCCATCCTGCAGGGATTGTCGGCTTGCTTTACAACTTACCTTTTCGTGGAGCGTGTCTGGTGTCACCACGTGTGGTAGGTGTCACCCGGTGCGACCCGCACCCGCCGCACCTGCCTGGGGACACCACTGCTCTATGGCTTCCTGCTGTCACTGGGAGACAGCTGTCCAATTTGACACTGGCGCTGCAAGTGACTTTTGCAGGCATCTTGAGTCAGGCAGAGTCAACTTAAGACTCCGGGTTCTGGGTTTGGCATGCTTTATGTGAGTTGCTAGTATAGAGACAGGATCCCCATCTTGCAGGGACAGTGCTTAGAGAAAGGTTCCAGAGGAGGAGGGACAGTGTAGGGATTAAGTCTACCCCACTTCAGGAAGCCTCCCTTTTTGGGTGTAGACTGGCCAGGCTGCATTTCGCTCCTTATTGCAGACACTGATGGCATCTTTCATGGCTACAGACCACTTGTACACTTTTTAAGCGGCTCTGGACGGTTGTGCCTACCCGCCGGGCCTAGTTGTACTGTGTTAAACTTTTCTACAATATATTGCTCTTGCCTATTTTTGACTTTGTGTGTTTACTGCCTGCCACACCATGCTGCCCCTTGCTCACAGGTGTATTTAACACCCCAGTCACATCAAGCCCAACTTTGAAATTGTGCGACTTACAGTGAAGTTGTACGATTTCAAAGTTGGGTGAGATGCCGATTTCAGGTGCGATTTACAAGACATTTGACGCAGATGTCTATTTAAATCGCACCAAAAGTAGTGCATGTATTACTTTAGAAATCGGTGCAGCTCTGACCAAGTCGGAACCGCACCGATTTAACAGCTCTAATTGCGGACAGCAGGGTGTGACTTGGCAAGTTGCATAGCATGCAAATTGCATGCCAAGTTGCACCCGGGTGTAAAACTACATGCCCATCAAAGACTATTCTGTGCACAGGGTGACAACTGCTTTACAAATTGATCATTTGATTTTGTCCATAATTCCACTTTAATTTTCAGTGCAGGTAGAGTTTGGGCTCTGAAAGTTCCCACAAAAATGTTTCTAAAATGATGCCCTTAAAAAAAGGTGTTTTTTTTTTTTTTTTTACAAATGACTGGTTTGCATATTGGCATTTATGGGTGACATATGATCACTTTCAATTAAAACAAACCCCCAACGAATATGGTGTTTTATTAGATCCTTAGAATAAACACTCATATAAACGTTTTGTTGTGCTAAGCACACTGCAGTAAACTTTCTATGTTCCTTTGTGCCTTCTAGACTATCATGTTGCACGAATTGTAATGGCCGTGTTTGGGAAAGGATGTCTGGCAGCTTCATTTAACTGTTTGTACTTATTGACAGGGGAATTATACCCAACTGTCATCAGGTAAGACACAGAGTGGGAGGGTAAGACCTTGTTTATTTTGACCAACTGATGGCTTATGGCTTCTATTTCAGGCAGACAGGCATGGGGCTAGGAACTGTGATGGCATGCTTGGGAGGAATTGTTGCCCCACTTGTTCAGATGACTGCAGATTATTATCACCAAACTCCCCCTCATTATCTTTAGCCTGTGTGCTATATTCTCTGGAGTTGCAGCATCTTTTCTTCCCGAGACACTTGGTGTGCCTCTCCCTGAGACCATACAGGAGGTGGAAAGGTTGGTATCCCAGTACTGTTATCCTTTTAGTTTAGGCCCTTCTGATCCTGTCTAGACTCTAAAGACATATAAATAAAGAAGCAATGTAAAAGGTACTGTAGGATGCAAGTTGTTCAGAAATACAAGAAATACAGCCCTTAAAGTTGACCACATAAACCATATTTATTGAAGCTGATTTACTAAAGGGCATAGACGAGTATTTCATTAACCACTTAGACACACTGTATTCTCAATCTGCAACCTTTTCGTGCTAATATAAGTTCTTCCTTCTAGCTACACAGATAGCTGTAATTGTTGTCCATCCAGTTTTAATCCTGATATTACTCTCCTAAATATTTTCTGGTTTTCAATTGTCATTTCATTCATCTTTTTTGCTGGAGCTTAAGTTACATTTGTTCAGCCTGGCTGAAGGATATGCAATTTCCCAAAACATGCTGGCTCTCCTCAAGTCTTCAATAAATTTTCTAAGATGATAACAATTATCACAGTATAGAGCATTCTTTTGGACATAAGCACTGCCCCTTCTGACAGAGCGCATTACTCTCATTCCTTTTGGTTATCCTTACTAAACGAGTATGGCAGGATCAGAGTGTCCCACTGGAGGATTGTGCTACAATACTGGAGTGTCAGAATGGAGGATTCCCACATGGCCAGGTAAAGGTTCGACTGCCCAGTGTTTTACATTTATTTCCCTTCAGGCCCATGCACTGCCATATGTGGATGGGGGAAGGTTTTTGGCCCGGTTTTAGCTTCAGCACAGACAGACATAGCTTTCTACTTAGGGCTGTGATAAGCTAACAGGGTAGTGAGGGAGCACAGAGAAGGTATGCATTAGTAGCAGAGGAGGTGGGCTATAAAGAGAACCTGGTTCATTGTCTTGAATAGGTAAAGTGAAAGGTGTACATAATTCTGGGTCACTTGGGATGACCTGCACTGTCCAGAATCGTTATGGAATACACTTTCTGCAAAAAGGGTAGAATATTATTAAACACCAGAACATGCATGTGCAATATTGTACCAATAATCAATAGCAGCATGCCAACCTTGGATTTTAGATAAATGCAAGAAAAATTTTGGCAAACACATGAAATTTAAAACAAAAACAAAATAAATATAAAAAATAAATAATAATAATAATAATAATTAATAATAAAAAAAAATATATATATATATGTATAGACACATACACACTATATTGCCAAAAGTATTAGGACACCCCTCAAAATCATTGGATTCAAGTGTTCCAAGCACCTCCATGGCCACAGGTATATAAAATCAAGCACCTAGGCATGCAGACTGCTTCTACAAACATTTGTGAAAGAATGGGTCGCTCTCAGGAGTTCAGTGAATTCAAGCGCAGTACCTTGATAAGTTGCCACCTGTGTAGTAAGTCGATCCGTGAAATTTCCTTGCTACTAAATATTCCATGGTCAACTGTTAGTGGTATTATAACAAAGTTAAAGCAACTGGGAACAACAGCAACTCAGCCATGAAGTGGTAGACCAAGTACAATGACACAGGCATGCTGAAGCATACAGTGCGCAGAGGTCTCCAACTGTCTGCAGTCAATAGCTAAAGACCTCCAAAGTTTGTGTGGCCTTCAGATTAGCACAAAAGCAGTGCATAGAGAGCCTCATGGAATGGGTTTCCATTGCCGAGGAGCTGAATCCAAGCATTATATCACCAAGTGCAATGCAGAGCGTCGGGATGCAGTGGTGTAAAGCATGCCACCACTGGACTCTAGAGCAGTGGAGACGTGTTCCCTGGTGTGGTGAATTATGCTTCTCTGTCTGGCAATCTGATGGACGTGTCTGGGTTTGGCGGTTGCCAGAAGAATGATATTTACCTGACTGGATTGTGCCAAGTGTAAAGTTTGGTGGAGGGGAAATTATGGCTTGGGGTTGTTTTTCAGGGGTTGAGCTTGCCCTATTAGTTCCAGTGAAGGGAACTCTTAAGGTGCCAGCATACCAAGACATTTTGGACAGTTTCATGCTCCCGACTTTGTGAGAACAGTGTGGGGAGGGGCCCTTCCTGTTCCAACATGACTGCGCACCAGTGCACAAAGGAAGATCCATAAAGACATGGATGAGTGAGTTTAGGGTGGAGGAACTTGACTGGCCTGCACAGAGTCCTGACCTCAACCCAACAGAACTCTTTTAGGATGAATTAGAGCAGAGACTGCGAGTCAGGCCTTCTCGTCCAACATTGGTGCCCAATCACACAAATGCGCTTCTGGAAGAATGGTCAGACATTCCCATAGACACACTCCTAAACCTTGTGGACAACCTTCCCAAAAGATTTGAAGCTGTTATAGCTGCAAAGGGTGGGCCAACTCAATATTGAACCCTACGGACTAAGACTGGGATGCCATTGAAGTTTATGTGCGTGTAAAGGCAGGCGTCCCAATATTTTTGGCAATCTAGTGTATATATTGCACTAACCCCTTAGGAGTCGCTGAATTATTTTCGGGCTCCCTGTCACTCTGGACCCCTCTCTGAAATCCAAACCCCTGCTGACACCACAGTACTCTTCTGACCAGAATACATTATCGCCAGAAAATAGACTCATACACAGATTAGAGTGAACTGTTATGATGCTTGTAATAAACATGGCTGCAAGCTCGGTCAAGAGCAAAAAGTGGTTTATGTATACGTAATGGCACTCTTCACTTGGGGGTGTACTCACTTTTGTTGCCAGTGGCTTAGACATTAATGGCTGTGTGTTGCGTTATTTTGAGTGGACAGCAAATTTACATTGTTATACAAGCTGTACACTCACTACTTTACATTGTAGCAAAGTGTCATTTCATGTGTTGTCACATGAAAAGATATACAGTAATAAAATATTTACAAAAATGTGAGGGGTGTACTCACTTCTGTGAGATACTGTATATATATATATATATATATATATATATATATATATATATATATATACAGTGCCTTGAAATTTTACCCCTTCAAATTTTCCACATGTTCCACATTTTGTCATGTTACAACAAAAAATGTAAATGTATTTTTTGGGATTTTATGAGATAGACAACACAAAGTGACACATAATTGTGAAGTGGAAGAAAAATGATAAATGGTTTTGAACATTTCTTTACAATCTAGGGGGTGCTGGGGTGGGCTCCGCCCCCCCAGATTTCAGTTGTGCCCACCCAGACTGCTGTGCTCCTTCCCCCCCATCCCCATAATCAGAGCCGGGACAAGGGAAAGGGAGCCTGGACCAGTTAAGTCCAGAAAGTGATACAAAATAAAGAGTCAGGAGGAGCAGTGCTGTGCTGTGCTCTGCTCCCTCCTCCTATCAGAACAGCGCTTCTCCATATAGCTGATGACACAGGATCGCTCCGACCATCAGGCTGTACACAGTTTCATTACCCACCCCTATCTCCTCCAAGGACTGTTCATCTCTTGGCAGCAGGAAATGTAGGTGGGGCAGGTAATGAAACTGTGCACATTCCGATGGTCGGAGTGATCCTGTGTCATCAGCTATATGGAGCAGCGCTGTTCTGGTAGGAGGAGGGGGCAGAGCACAGCTCGAACCTCTGGACTGTAAGTTGGAAGGATGGGGGTTGGGGAGCTTACAGGTGAATTGAACATAATGAGGGGGGAGGTGTGGCGGGGAAACAGCCATTTGTGCTTGGGATGAGAGGGGGCTATTTGTGCTGGAAAGGATAATGGGGGTTGGGGGGATTTCTGCTAGGTGAAAGAATAGGGGGATTTGACCCAGGAGAGGGCTTGGGGCCACTTTTTGTGCCTATTTGTGTTAAGGGGGGCAGGGGATTTGGGCTAAGAAGGGGCAGAGGATTTGGGCTAAGCAGTGGCAGAGGATTTGGAAAGGGAGAGGATTTGTGCTGAGAAGGGTACTTTGGAGGGGGCTGTGCTATGAGGAGGAATTTAGGGGAATTTGTCATAGGGAGGAGGGATTAGTGGGAGGGGATATGTGCTAGTAGGGGAGATTGGGGAGATTTGTGCTAGGAGGGAGATTAACAGGGAATCTGTGCTAGAAGGAGAGATTGGGGGGATTTGTGCTAGGAGGGAGAATTGGGGGGATTTGTGCTAGGAGGGGGTATTTGTGCAAGAAGGGGGATTGGGTGGGGGTATTTGTGCTAGAAGGGGGGATTGGGGGAATGTGTGCTAAGAGGAGGGGATTGGGGGAATGTGTGCTAAGAGGAGGGGACTGGGGGAATTTGTGCTAGGAGATGGTGATGGAATGTGGGCTAAGAGGCAGGACTGAAGGGGAATTTGTGCTAGGAGGTGGGATGGGGGGGATGTGCTAGGATGGGAAATCCTAGGATGGGAAATTCAAGGGGGAAGTTGATGTGTGCATGGAGCGGTTATTTTTGGTTGAGGGAGATTTGTGCTAAGAGGGGGAATTGGGGGCATTGAAGGCAGGCTTGTGGGGCAAAGATTTGTGCTGGGAGGGGGGTTTATACTAGGAGGAGGGGACATTTTTGCATTGCACCTGCCTGTAGGTAAGCCCCTATCCTGGGCCCCCTCCCTGGCTCCACACTGCTGTCTCCCACTCCATCTTCCACCCGACATTTCTCCCCTTCACCCAGGCTCTGCAATACTTAGGAGTTGCCTTGGTCACCATGCCCAGCCTGATGCCAGGGAACTGGCCAGTCCAATTGGTCCCTCAAGTATGCATATCTGAGCTTCCTTTGCTCCTCCATCCCTCCTTCAGAAAGCTCTCAGGTTTCTGGAGAGGTGGGAGGGCTCTAGAAGCTCTGACTTTCAGAACCTTCTTAGTTTGTTCACTTTTACCTCTACTGTACACTTTATACACTTCTTTCTCTTCAGCATTTTTAAGCCAGTGCACTCAACTACCTGAGCCCAGCAACCTGTCACCTCATCCCAGTGACAATAATACACATGTTTAACTCTTTGTCTCCACTCTTAGCATTGACTTGAGGTGTATCCCAGGAAGGTCTATAACATTACTGGTTGGTGCTTTAGTACTCTGAGGCCTCACTCCATCTTCTCTGACTTCAAGGTTGGGTCCATAGAATGCTCTGTACCACAATCTGACCCAAATTGGGGTACTGATCACTAGAGAAGGAACCAAGCACACAGGCTGCTTTGCTACCAGGGACCTCTGCCACCTATGCCAAGTTACTTCAGCTTCCTGACTGGCTGACTGCAATAATGCACATAGATGCTTGTACTGTAGTCACTGGCAATGGCACACAACAAGGGTTAACTCAACCTTCTTTTAGGACATTAGTACTGCATCTTCTTTTCATATTGTCTTAGCCCCTGATATATCCATGGTAAGTAATACGCCATGAATGCACCCCTTTACATACAGTATGTCTTTAGACCAGGCAGTTGTCCTTAAAAATGGAGCTTCTCTTTACTTGTAAAATGTCTTCCATTACAGCTCACAGTACAATACATTTCTTCTAAATATAGTTCACACTCTCAGCATTTCCCTTTAACTTGTGGTGCCTCCTGGTAGCCCTGGCACCATAATTGTCATACCTCCATAAGGCAGAAAGTCCATAATGTCCATGTTCTGGGAACCCCAATGTTTAAGGATCATTTCCCATTGGTTATGCACATCCACCATATCACCTGCATGTTTGAAAAGTCGTTGGACCACCTGGTGTTTTTGCACCTTTGAACTTTTTATATATATATGTGTGTATTCATTTTTATATATTCTTTCTGATACGTTGTTATTATATTTTTTATTTATTAATTTATTTTATTTTTTAATTTATTTCATATCACTATCCAAAATTGAAGGATGGTGAAGTTTCTTATGATTATTCATCATATTGTCACTAGAGGTTTTTGATGATATTATACAGCACGCATAGAGGAGATTTATCCCCTTATAGGGATTCACTTATTTTCTACTTTGTTTTTCTATTTTCATTTTTTTTGGTAATATCAGTCACTGTGATTCGGTTTTCTTTGTGTGTGAAATTGGTCCCACAATGAGGGATTTGTGAATTATCATTTATCCGGCTTTTTTCACATTAATCCAGTCCCATTTGGACTGTTTGGTTTATCACAAATTTCTTTTCAAATCACCATGTTCAATCACTTTTTGGTTGTCACTATAGATCCCGAAGTGGATCAGTTCACTTTGTTCACTTTATCTCAGTCCCTTTTTGGACTTATTTAATTTTAATTTTGTTTAAACCATTATGTACAATCACCTTTTGGTTTCACTACAGATCCCATAGTGGATCAGTTCACTTTTTTATTCACGGGTTAATTGTCACGTATGTAATAATATTGATTTATTTTGTAACATAGTTTATTTATAGATAAGCGCTGCACCAGTTTATTTAATATAGCAATCCCTTTATGCTGCTCTTCCCTTGTATTTATAGGCCACCAGTATGGTGGCACCATGAACACCCGGGAAGCTGTGTAGCAAAGTTAACTCTTTTCTGTCCTGGAGGCACCGCTATATACACATACTATACATTGTACAATTTAGCAATGCACTAATCATAGCACATTACAGTATCCAAAAGATAAAATAATTTTAGGCACCTGCCCACAAGCTTCTATGTTATTGGATGAATGGTAATGTGCATTAAAATCTGGGCAGCCTTTGACAGTCTTTTTAACATGTAACAGCCCATAACAGTTTTACATAACATATCAGTAGTCCATGTCATGCTTTTTGCAACATGTGCCGGAAACCCCAATTACTGCACTGTAATGAGATATACAAGATTCACCTAGTACATTTGAATACCCAATCATATACAGATGAATTTTAAAAAATCTATTCCAAGTGAATAAATGATTGTGGTAAACACAGATTCCATTTGAACGCATTTATTTTGCTAAATGAACACTTAGTAAATCAACCCCAATGACTGACACTATCCTGCCACAGGTATGT